ACTCGGGCAGTAACATCACTACTGTGCATAGTACGTCTGGCGGAAGGTAGAGAGAGCACATCAGCGCAGCCATTCGGACAGCGATCGCCTAGATGTTGTTCAGTCTCACCTCATGCGCATGTATATTTTTTCCTATTAATATAGCTACTCCTATTTGTGCTCTACCTCCCTTGAGAAGGTTTGATGAAAAGTAAAGTGCGACCTCGGGCGGATGGAGGTTTCCTGCAGGATTATCGCCATCAGAGCATGTTCCCTGACAAGGAACTGTAGCACGTCTCTCTTATTTCCAATTGCTCTGTAGTTCTACTGCAGAATGTATTCCATTAGTCACTCCGTATTCTGTTCTCCTTTCGGAGATTGGGTCGGGGCCTTCACATCTTTCATCTTCTTTTACGTTTTTCTGAGAGGGGACATGAAGGAGCCTAGGTCTCTAACCCAGGTGTCCCTGGATACACGAAGCTCGTCCACTGATGTTGCCGCACCAACCGTTTCCCTTGAGGAGCCCCACCCAGTGGCGGTGATGAGAGCTTAAACAAAGGTTTATTCCCCCGGCTATGTTTGAGAGAAGGACGTTCTTGCCTTTCTTTCTTTATGGGGTGTAGAAACCCCCTTGTAACCCACGATGGTTGTAGGCGGATAAGAGCCACTTCCGATTTGGTTTTAGCTTTGAATGTTATGGTTAAGGTAGTCGGTTTTTCTTTCAGAAACTAATAGTCAGGGCGGGAGGAGATGTTGCTTGAGCATAACTTCCTGCGCCCGTCTAACTGCCGACATTCGCCCTGGCTTCCGATAGGAAAGCCTTTCATCGGTTTTCAATCTTTGAATTTCTCCTTCCTCTGCGAGAGAGGGCAAACACCTGAGCTGCGTATGCGCTCCGCCGCAGTTCACGCATGTTGGAGAGTCACTGTACGGCGAATCTTTCCAGTCCTTCCCACACTCATAGATCTCCTACGACGACCTGCAGACCAAGCCTCTGGCCTTGTAGCAGCGTAGCGGCACTGAGGATTAATTATTAAGGACATTTAATCTGTAGAATGCTGCCCTAATCTGTTCGGGGCATATAGGGAGGTTGTACGTGAGGAGTCATCGAGACCTCATGACCACATATGTTAGGTTTAGCTTCAATGGGATGCTGCCATTTAACATTAAGCCACCCTAAATTCTATTCAATCCCACCTCAACTGTAGACGACCCCTGCTTTAAATGATATTGGATGGAGAGGCGAGGTGTAACAGAAACTCCAAGTTATTCAGAAATCGTGAGATGCGGTCTGGTATGATATAGGTTTCAGAATAACATTTTCTTTATCGTGCCAACGTTTCGATCTTTAATGAGATCATCTTCAGGGCCTGGGATTATTAGAAACCCCAAGTTTTACAATTTCAGCAGATAATCCCTTTTAAGAAAATCTGTCAGTGCTTGCAAGACTGCAATCCTTTCTAAAATGACCACTTTAGTTTTGGCAATTCAAATTCCATTTCTCACAATATCTTTCTCATATTTGTCGATTGTCAGCTACGCCACACCATCATCAACATACCTTACAGTTATATAAAAACATGAGTATATACTGACATAATTAATTTATTATTATTATTCCAATTTTTAACTAGGGCTCTGCGTGAATGTTTATATAATTGCCAGAAATGTTTTTACTGTATGCGTTCCCGTCCTCGCCATTGAGTTACGTAACTGAGCGACAATGGGACGGTGTTCACTTCCTTTCCCAGATCAGTGTATTGTCTATGTTGTCGTTAAATAATTACAAAAGATAAAATAATTTTTTGTAACGGACATAGTTTTTTTAATTAGAGTCTAAAAAATAATTGGCTTTCAAATCATTAAGGCCAATTATACACAAGATAGACTTCTGCAATAATTAAATGGAAACACGATTGTTCACGAACAGCAAAACTAGTACAACAGAAATAGGATTTTCCTCGCGAGAATTTTGCTGATAATGTTAAAAAAGGCATGATTTATTTAGAAACGAAATCTCTAAAGAAGGCCATAATCACTGCTGATAATCATCGCCTAGTTCATTATCAAAAAACAAATTCCAGTCGTGGTGTAAATATCATGTAGTGAACACGTTCTACTTAACAATTAAAACTTGGGATATTATTTTAAAAGGTAACATACAATTGACAACATACAACTTTTGCTATCTGGCAATTTCTTAGGTTTGTGTCAAGGACGAAAATTCGCTTTGACATGACAATAGAGGTCCAAAAGGTCACCCGAATATAAAATTTACTTTCATTTAAAACATGTCAGCAGACTTAAACCTTACTGGAATTGTAAAAATGTACGAAATGACATTAACAATTACGAAAATTCTATAATATATACCAATTACTAATTAAAAATCGTGCAAGATTTGGAACAATATGAAATTTAGGTAAACTTATATTTTTGTGTTTTAACATTTTGGAGAAAAACAAAAAATTAACAATAATATTTAATGATAAACAAATTAAAATAAGGAAGTATTTACGTATTATAAAATGATATTAACAATAAATACACACGGTGATGATAATAATAACAACACCCGATTAAGAATAGGCCATGTGAGATCGACACGCGGACACATACTTTTGGGCGAAAGACTGCGTATGTGTCCGGCATGCAGAGAAAGGTTGCTCGATATGTCCTACATAGTTGAAGGGTGCAATTCCTTGGCTCTATACAGGGTGTCTCCGTTCCTTCTGACAAAACTCAGGGATTCTACTCTTCGTTTGGAGCAAAAAATGCTCAGGAGAAAATTTTCGGAAAGTTCTCTATTTTGAAGATATTCGTCAATTTAGGTTTTTTCAACTTTTCACTACCTTACCACATAAAAACGCTTACAACTTTCAAAATGTTGAGACTACAACAAATCCAATTACACCATTTGAAAGAATGCTAAATTTGCTGTAAGATACTTGTTTGCAATAATCTGAATGACATAAAACGTTAGCCAATATCAGTTGGAACATGTCAAAATTACAAAATTTCAAATTTTGGTCAAGATTGCACGTTCCACTGAGGCTACAAAACATGGCCTAAGATAAATTTGAAGGGGGGTAGAAATAAATCAATTGAAACTCGTTTTGTAAAATAAAAATGACACATCTGTAATCTCACAAAAACCATACCAGAAAGCTTCATACAATAAAATGCAATGGTTCTTCTTGTAGCAAGCTCCTAACGACAAATGAGGAACTTTTCAGAGGAAATGCTCAAAGTGTTTTCCCTCTTCTCGAATGCATAACTGACTTTCTGAATTTCTACCCTCCCCCCTACAAATTTACCTTAGCTCACGTTTTTGAACATTCAATTGTTATTTTTCAACTCTACGAGAACATTATTTAAAAACCTGGATTTATCAACGTAAAGCATATTAGAAGAAGAAGTTCTTGTAAAATTTGACAAGTCGTAGGTATTTTTTGTAACCTCAGTAGAACGTGCAATCCTGACCAAAATTTTAAATTTTTTAATTTTGACATGTTCCAACTGATATTGGCTAACGTTTTATGTCATTCAGATTATTGCAAAAAAGTATCTTACAGCAAATTTAGCGTTCTTTCAAATGGTGTAATTGGATTTGTTGTGGTCTCAACATTTTGGAAGTTGTAAGCGGTTTTATGTGATAAGGTAGTGAAAAGTTGAAAAAACCTAAATTGACGAATATCTTCAAAATAGAGAACTTTCCGAAAATTTTCTCCTGAGCATTTTTTGATCCAAACGAAGAGTAGAATCGATTCCCTGAGTTTCGTCAGAAGGAACTGGGACACCCTGTATAGAGAGCGTGTAGGATATAAAATCGTGTTTGAGCACGGCAGTGAGTATCTGGGTTCCGATTTTTTTTGTGAACAGGGTTGTTTTATTGTATATAGGACTGATAGTTGACTATTAAAAGTTACTGTATTTTGCGTGGTGTTTAGAGATCGCCAATGGTTATTTGGAGATCGTGAGATGGGGTCAGGTGTGACGTAGGGTTTAGAAAAATATTCTCAACACGACACACAAGAATGACACATCTACACAGAAAGCAAACACTTTGAGTCACCTGAAGATGATCTCAATAAAGATCGAAACGTTGGCACGATAAAGAAAATGTTTTTCTGAAACCTACGTCACACCAGACCGCATCTCACGATCTCTAAATAGTTACTGTATTTATTGACATGAATGTGTAGTGTGAGAGGTCCGACGGCGGAATATCGAGTACTCCATGCACATATACAGAAAACGACAGCAACTGACAACATTATACAAGCCGACTCAAACCACCCACACTGAAATACATAACAGACAGAATAAAATCAATCCCACTAAACAAAAACAAATACGAAAATGAAAAAGAATACACAATCATAGTACAATAACGGTCACAGCACAAACACAATTAAGGAAATAATAAAGAAAACATGCACACAAAAATAGACACTAAATGGACCATATTCACATTCTTATAAAAAACGTACAAACTAACTAACAAGTTAGGAACTAAAAACCATAAACACAATATGAAAAGTGGTAAGACAAAACATCGATAAGACCGTCCAACTATAAAAAAGCCCACACATGCGAATGCGGAGACAAATACATCGAACACTCTTGATGAAGGTATGGTCTTGAAGAAAAAATCAAATTCAGTTGTTACCGCCAAGCTTTCGACCTATTGTAGGGTCATAATCAGGGCAAACAATCTTAAATATGTCTACAGATTGACATGTTTATGTTTTTTACAGGCGATCTCAAATTTACTTGAACACCGACTCAATCCTAACATTGTCAAGGACAGTGCTTAATAACAACTCGCAGACATCGTTTACGCCATTTAAAACAGTACACAAATTAAAAAGGAAAAGGTCCGAAGTTGAAAAAGACGTAGAGCAATCAAAAACCCGACTCAATCTATCAAACACACTGACAAACAATACTAATTCTGATTCAGCCTGTTGTTTTTATGTTTTTCATTAATTTACTTACATGAATCAAACGAATTTCAGGCAGTATTTGATAGGGGTATCAAGCCGAGAAGGGATGAGACAAAATGAGGATCAGGACAAACGTAAAACGAAGGGTTACATCAATGAAGGCGAAGAGGAAGAAATGGTAATAAACGTCAATACAACTAACAAAAAAAAACTATACATTTTATGGGATTAAATTTAAATGATAATAGGTAATTTATGGTTATAAAGAGCATTTGCCGTTTCAAGTGGCGACTTGGATTGGTTATTTTCTCTCCCTGGGACTCCTGCGGCTCGTTTTTCACTGGTGGCCACATCTCATGCTTTATGCCAAGCATAAACAATGCTCTCTGGACGAAGCGACGAAACTTCTTGTTATCGTAAGTATGTCGAGTAGTAAAAGGGGAGACGGTTTTTGAAAGTGCTTTGTGACATATCTTGCAGGATTCGTTCGAGAAAAGGTTCAAGCTGATGTTCGTCAAAGACGTTAGAATAATCTCAATTTCAAATTGCAGGTATGCCCATGATTTATCACTTTGCATGAAAATATTCATTTGATACGCATTACAAATTTTTTTGTTGCTTGAAATGGCATGCTGGTTAGAGATAAAAGGTGGTCGAAACACAATGATGTGAAATAAAGATTTCTTTAATGATTCTGATTTAGGGCATTATTTCAATAACATTTACCCATTTTATATTAAATTGGTAGTTCACGTTAAGCCTTTTTTATAGAGAAAATATTTCAACTTACTTATACGTTGGTGATAGTAATGAAAAATCAATGAATAGCTTGAAAATTCATTTAGCTGATGGTAGAACAAAAGGTAATTATTAATATGTCCAACCAGTAAACAATGTTATAGCTTATCGTGTGTTTATAATAAATACGTAAATTTTTATTTTAGAATGCTCAGACCTGAGGTTTGTCAAAGTTAAAAAAATCAGCTACATCTGGGATCAGAGCAAGTTCAAATTTGTCCGACTCGTAGGCCTTGATAACGGTTTGAAACAGGAAAACTTTTCAAGATTCACTGGTCTCACGTCGAACCATCAAAAACTGAAGTAGATTAGTTTTGAATATTAATATTTTTTAATTTCTAAAGGAGTTTTTCATTACAGGCAATTGGCATATGGATTAAATGAAATCATAGTGCCCATTTCGTCAATACCCACTTTGGTACTGCTGGAAGTGCTGAACCCGTTCTACATTTTCCAAATATTTTCCATGTCGGTGTGGCTAAGCGACCAGTACTATTACTACTGCATAGCCATTATCATAATGTCAGTGTTTGGAATTTCTTCGTCAGTCTATCAAACACATAAAGTAACGTGTCTTATCACTTTTGCCGAATGACAACTCCAGACCGAAACTTTTTCAGAATCAAAAACATTTGAACGAAACCATCCATTCGACGGATGTAGTGACTGTTAAAAGGGGTGAGAGCGGTTATGAAGAAATCGAAACATCCAGTTTAGTCCCAGGTGACATTATAGTCATCCCACCCCAAGGATGTACGGTGCATTGTGACGCCATTTTATTAAACGGACAGTGCATTGTTAACGAAAGCATGTTAACAGGTAAATTAAAGAAAAAATAATAAAATTAAAAATATAAGGAAATTTTCCTAGGTGAAAGTGTTCCTGTAACGAAGAGTTACCTGCCGAAAACCTCCAAAGTTTACACTGCTAAAGAAGACAGCCAACACACCCTATTTTGCGGCACGGTTGTGATACAGACTAGGTATTACGGTACTGAAAAGGTACACGCCTTGGTGACCAGGACCGGCTTCTTGACAGCAAAAGGCGATCTGGTGCGGTCGATCCTTTACCCGCCACCGGCAGACTTCAAATTTGACCAGGACTCTTTTAAATTCATTTGGCTTCTGGCGTTTATTGGGATTCTAGGATTCGCATATACCATTTATATTAAGGTATTACTGATTGAAAGATGTATATTTTTATTGAAAACTTTTTTCCAGGAACTTTAGGCACGATAGAACGTTGACTTTTAAACTTTGTAGCAAAATAAATTGGCAGTCGTTTCCGATATCTTCTGTCAGATGCCGTTCGGCTTTTTGGGTTCTGACAGACTAAAACAGATAGACCAGGAAACTACCAAGCTATAAGTCAAGGAGTTTTATCCTATTCTATTCAGCTTCTGTAATGAATGAACTTTTATAATTAGTTTGGGCCTCACAATTTTTTTCTATTAAGGTGAGTATAGCTTCGGAAACGATTAATCTTCTGATTCGTTGCCTCTCACAAGGGAACGACCAGGTTAGTCATGGATTTGAACCAAACTTTTTTTGGTGATCCTTCACTTCAAAATATCGGACACGTATCTGCCATTTCTCGTAAATAGACTATGGTTTTTTGAAAGTTGAAATTTTCCGTTTTTTAATATTTTTATCCCAATATTCTTCCTGATCAACTATGAAAATATATCATTGTACAACATTTTTTTTAATGTAAATTGCAATAAAAATATAGCAAAGCTATACAAGTTTATAAATAACAAAAAAATTTTAACACCAAATATTTTTTCACAGGTCATAAATTTTTTATTTCGTGAAACTAATATGACATTTACTTTTACCATGTCTAGAGACCTCTAAATACAAATTTGTGTTTCAATTTAATTCTATTGATTTTTTTATCATAAATTTTTTTCGATATTTAAAAATTTGTTATATATCTGTTTGAAACGGATATAATTCAAAAGTAGGTAAAAGGATTTTATCAAGCATACCATTTAAAATAAGAGCATTGTAGGCATTTTACGGCCTATGTACCATAAAAAAATATACAAAAGATTTCTATAAGAAAATACACAAAATGGAAAATTATTTGTCAGAAATTAACCTCTTTTTGACATGGAAATAATAATCCGATTTTAATGTTTGATTCAGTTACACAGTTGCACGACCATAAAAATCGGTTTCCCAGGTTTTGAGAAAACAGCTTGCACTAGGAATGTCAGTCACGGTCGTCGAAATTATGAATCGAAAAATTAATTTACACCGATTTCCGCGAAAGTCGGTCGATAAGGGTTTTATAAAGCTAGAATCACGATAATGAGGTCAAAATTCAAGTTTAGTCACTCTGTGACTCACGTCTTTTCGGCACCTTCAGTGGTGTTTTACTATCAAACGTGCTTTACTAAATGCTTCGTCTTCGTGATTTATTCTGTCAATCCTGTTTTTCACTCTGCTATGACCTACTCAAGTGAATTTGCTAACAATAGCCACGGCAGTATGGAACGATTTATTACCTTTTGCGGGTTGACCATGTAGCCTGTCCATAGCACAAACTCAAATCTAGAGTTCCAGGAACTTTTAGTAGAGGGTTTCCGTCATCTAGATCTATTATTATCTAAATTCAATAATCTAAAATATTTTGTAGGCAATAAGTTGTTGGGCTAAAGAAAAAAATGAAGGGTTGTAAATGCTCAGAAAACTGACAGAGGAATATGCAAAAAAGAGCTTGAAGTTCGATTTCAGAAAACAGGAAAGCTTATAGCAGAGAATAGATACAATAGATCGATCCAAAGATTTGTGGTTTCCAAAATTTCAAAAATTCAGATTTCGTTTAGAGGAGAAAAGCAGAAAAACGGAAATTATAGACATGAATACGAAAGGCAATGTAAGTGGACGACGGGGCGGCGGCCGAATAATCTCTCGATATTCGCTTGCTTTTCTATAAGCGACAAGAGATTAGTCGGCGTAAGCGCGTCGCTACTTATTTTTGTGTAGGGGAAGGTAAGGTTCCAGAATTCAATAAACCAGAGACAGTATTCAGTAACATTTATTGTACACAAGTCCTTCTCTTAACAGTACCCTAATTGCTAATTAATTAATCTACAAGTCAGCCACAACTCTAAATCTGGGATGAGTCTATCAACAAAGGGACTTACCCCAAACGATGGGTTTGGACTTATCCCACGATCAGTGTCCACAGCATCACTTCTCTCAACTCTGACTTGGCTCGATTGGTCGCAACGGCTGGTCCTCGCTGGCTCTGGCTGGCTGAGTCATGTTGTTGAATTCCAGACGGAGTGTGGCTGCTTCTCTCCCGGTCCTTGATCTTGACTGCCTGGGATGAGTCTCTGATGTTGACTGGCTGGGGTGAGTCTCTGATTTCGACTGGCTGGGGGGGTGAGTCTCGGATCTTGACTCACTGGGGTGAGTCTTGCATCTTGACTGACTTTTGATTTTCCAGTCATCCCTTTTATACCGGGTCTCTCCCGGAGTAGGGGCGAAAGGGAAACTCAAAAGTCGGGGGAGTTCTCATGCCGCGGCTGGGCCGGCAATGACGGCGGCCTAGCACAGGGTTGACGTATTCCCAATTTACGATTTCCCCCGTTCGTACCTAACTGTCTACCTGGGTAACCATTTCCAAGCTACATTTGCCAGATGTGCCACGTCGTTCCCGTCTAGGCGTTGCCCCTTCAAAGCACAACCCCTGTCCCTTTTCTTCGTTTACCTATTTTGTTCTAATTTTACAATTTAACTTATCGCTAAGACGGGGGCCGGCTTACAGATATAAAAGGTATTAAACAATTAAATTTACTTAAACGGAACCACTGCACTTCACTTCGAGCATTTTGTTGGAGAAGACATACTCGCCGCTGATATAAGATTAAAAAAGCAAATCAAAGAAGGCGAAATTGATTTGATTAAGCAGCGGCTGTTGTCGTGACATGGCCATGTAAAAATAGTGGGATGCAATTACTCACCAGAGAGAAGAATTTCTGCAGTGAAGTAATCGATGGCGGATTTGAAGGAAGAAGTCTGAGAAGACAGAAAGCTCTCCCTTTTTTATTTGAAATTTTTCAAAAAAAGAAACGGATTTGTTACTCTCAGCTATAAAATCACAAAGGCCTCGGGCTTAATCTGCGGCTATGCTGCGATGTCTTACTAGTGGCGCACTATTCAGAAGATCATGGATTAGGATGCATGTTGGATGTGGAGTCTTTCGTAGATTCAAATACTTGGAATATTATTTGGAATTTGTGGTGTGCAGTTTTCCATCCTTATCATTAAAGCCACGGATTTGTATGGTCTGAAGATATGTGAATAGAATCTGCCGATGCCCGTAAATCACAGGAATAAGCTTCCCAATTTGACGAATTAGGTAAAGTTATTTGATTTCCATGAAACAGGTTGAGCTACGATCTAACAGGTTTTTCAGTGTTTTGTTCATTGAGGAATTTTGGTAAGCAGATTTTTGATATTGCCCACGTCAATCTAAAGTTTAGTTGAATGCAGAGGTATTTCACTGTCAGGACAATTGTAGTAAAGAAATTGCCGTTATTCGTCGTACGTTTATAACAATTCTAGGGGTTAAAAGAAACTCTCCACCTGTTATACTATTCAGCGATATAAGTTGGGTTGGAGGTTTGCATATCGGTTTATGATAGGAAGAGCAGCAGTATCAAATCTAGCGAATACTTTGTTTTGTCGTGCTGGTAAAGAGTACAAATACAGGAAAGGGTTTAAGATCTTGACATATATTTCAGTTTTTTTTTATGATCTATTATTACAATTTTGTTATAAAGTGTCAATTTGACTATAATCACTACCACGAGAAGAATAAGCCATCTTGTTTTTTTATTTGATTTGTAGACTTCAGATAACTTGGAATTGGTTGAAATTGTAATAAAATCACTTGATCTATTTACAATTGTCATTCCGGTGGCTTTGCCGGCTGCGATGACGGTCGGGAAGATCTACGCTCTCAAAAGACTGAAATCGAAGAAGATATCCTGTATCAATTCCAGGGTGATTAACGTTTCTGGATCGGTGAACTGCGTCTGTTTTGACAAGGTAAAATATATAAACTTTTAGGATAAACCAATACTTGATTCTTCTTCTTTTGAACAGACGGGCACTTTGACGGAAGATGGCTTGGACATGTGGGGCGTCATTGCAGTCAATGAAAAATATTTCGACACGCCGTGCTCCAGACCAGGCGAGACGACGAATAAGCACTTGCTGCACGGAATGACGACTTGCCATTCTGTGGCGATGGTGAACGGGGCTTTATGTGGTGACCCGATCGACACCAAAGTCTTCGAAAGCACCAATTGGACCATTCACGAGCCGTCGGTCCCAGACGAAAAGAAGTACGACTTGTTAGCACCAACCGTCGTCAGGCCTCCTGCCACCGAAGTTGATTGTTCGACGGTAGGATTTAAAATATAAATTTCTTCCAATTAATTATTTATTAAGAGTCATAAGATTCTTAGTTTTATTTTCAAGGCATAAATTCAGCCTAAAAATACTTTTTGGCTTAATTTCAAAGATTCATTCTTCTTCGCGGTTATTACAGACAAAAAAAATGATTTGTTTAAAAGAAACACCCGCAATTATTTGTTGCATATTATGTTCGCCGAGAAAAACAATACTTTCAAATTGCCCAATTAAAGTTAAGTCAAAATTGCAAGGCAAAAACAGAAAAACAGGTTTAATAGTCTGTTATAGTATAGCCATTAAGTAGTAAAAATAACCTTGTGTATATACCTACTTGAAAAAATTAAACAACTTAATATTGACAATACTCAAGTATATCGGTCATTGAACCAGGTTATCTATCCAAAACAAATCGCGTCGTTAAAAAAATTTAACTTTACGTATTACGTACTTACAGATTCAAATAGATTTAAGTATTTAATGATTTATTTTTAATATTCGATAAATTACAGGGTGTCTCAGCGATACCCACTCGGGCAAAAAGATGTGAAAAAGTAGTTTAAATGGTAATCACCATGTTTTCCCAAACGATTTTTATTGTTTTCCTAATGTGGTATTGATTCCCGATTGAGTGTCAACTTTGTTTTTATAATCTAACATCTAAAAAATCATAGTATGACCAATAAGATAGATTGCATATTTTAGGAAAAATATTTATTCACGGTTTATGCTGTACGTCGCGATTAAATTTCAATCGCTCCAAGAGAGGGAGCCGACCTAGATTTTTAAGATCTCGGTCCCAGAGGATATCCTCGATCGGCCTGACTATAAGTTTAATTTGCCAGATACCTTTTTATTTAAAATATATTGTCTTTACATAATCAAGAACAATGAAATTGATATTTGAGACCAGGTTAACCTTGAAGAAACAAAACTTTTAAATTAAAAAACAAAAAGAAATTTTAAATTTTGTTTTTATAAGTATCTATTTTAATGAATTAAAATATAAAATGAAGAATATAACTTTTACCAAAAGTAGTACTATGTCGTCTGTATCCCACACACTGAAGATGGCAAAATGCGAAAACGCGTCTGACAGACCAGATGTAGATGTAGATATAATTTCAGGGTATAGTACACTGAGTATACTGCGCCGTTTAAGAGCTATTGAATCTATCCCTCGTACTCTGCCTTCGGCACATCGGTGAGTCCTATTTCACCAAGAAATTTGATTAATAGGCCCGGTTTCAATGGTTGAAGCTCTTCTATGGTCACATTCTACATCCCAAAACATTTCCTCTTGCGGGCTAGTGTAGCTCCGCAGTTTGTTAGTAGATGTGTTGGTGTTTCTTCTGCCTCCTTGTAGAATCTGCATGTACCATTTTGGATTATTCCAATCTTCTTTAAGTGTTCGTTTAACTTGCAGTGTCCTGTTAGGAATCCTATTAGGATTCGCAGTAGATTCCTGCTTACTTTAACACATTCTGTAATTTCTTTTGTTCCGAAATTTGTTAAGATATTCTTGGATTGCCTGTGTCCAATGAGTGAATTCCATAGTTTCCTCATTTTCTTTTTGTCCTTCTGTCTGAGATACTCGTTAATAGTATGGGTTTCTATGCCACAGAAGGGTTCGGGTTCTGTCGGGATGTAGCAGCTCCTTGCCTTGCAAGGGTGTCCGCTTTCTCGTTGCCTTCTACGCCCATGTGTCCTAAGACCCAGCAGAGGCTGACTTTGTTCTACATGCCTAGTATATTTAATTTGGTTTTGGAGTTCAGCACCAACCTTGAACTAATGATATTTGAGCTTAGTTCTTTGATGTCTGTTTGGCTACCTGACATGATGCTATATCCTTGTTTTTGTTTCCTTTACTTAGGTTGTGTTGTGTACATCTTTCGATTGCATGAACCTCAGCTTGGAAGATACTGGTGTATTTTCCCATGGGTTCTGAGTATTTGGTTCCAGGTCTCCTGCCCCGGCACCTTCTTGTGTTCTAGATCTATCCGTGTACCAAAGGATGGTGCCATTCTTAAAGGAGGTGTTTACCTCTCGTTACCATTCTTTTTTGGTACCTAGGTTTATTCGGAAGTTTTGGTTAAATTCGAACATCCTGTCCATGTCGTCTCTTGGGGGTCTGACAGACCAACCCATCTAGTATAGATACGCAAAAATGATCGGTATCGAACAAATTAGAGAATCATCACCCTGCGGACCAAATTATAAAAGATATCTTACTACCTTATAGTGACTAACGTTGATGTAAAATAGAACACATATTAAGCGGACCAAGGTACCCAAAGTGGCGAGTAGACCCTATGGCCTTGGGTTCGATCACTACCGTCCGCGTCTCCCCTGAATATTTTGACCCTCCCAAGTGTATGATCTGTAAGATGCAATCTGTATGATATGGAAAGCATATGGTCATTAAAAAATACATTTATACAAAATATCTCTCTCATGGATTTAAATTATATTACATATTGGCCTCTTGCCCGAAAAACATCTTTATTAAATTCCTTCTCTACAGTGTCTCTAAGTTGGAAATTTAACTCCCTGTAAACAGGATGAATAATATGATATAATAACAATATTTAACTATCAGGATTTCGGCATGCGTAAATTCCTAAATCTGGCCAATGATCAAGTCGCCGACAGTAACTCGTACATTCGCCAAATCCAAATTTATGCAATAACGGCGCTGAGGGAAATGGGATATCTTTTTAACATTTATTTTTTTATTGCCATCTATAAAAATAAATATAGATATGTACATAATATGTACAAAACGAACAGACCAGGAGGCAGTGGGGAGAGAAACTAGCCGGTGCTAGAACTCTCTTTTATTTAATTGGGTAGCTTAAGATGGAGGTCACGAGGCGTTTTAAATATCGTGTAGGATTATAAGGACCCAACGTTTGGAAAAGTGTTAGGGTATTGGGTTAGGAAGGAGGGTTAGTTTAGAGAGGAAATTGAGGAAGGGTGTTCGGATCAGATCTTTAGACGAACGGGATTTTAAGGTCTTTATGGATCATTTGATTGGTGACGTAGAAGGGAGCATTGAGGATAAGGCGGAGAATTTTGATTGAAAGGAATAATTCGTTAGATATTGCAGGATTTGGAAGAGGCCTACATTTCGGCTCCGTAAGTCCAAATAGGTCTGATGAGTGTTTCGTAAGCGGTTTGTTTGTTACGTATTCTTCATGTTGATTTGGGTTGCTTTTTTAATATTTTATGTGGGTTCTTTTTAAGTCTGCTATCTAAGTAAAGCCCAACGTAGCAGACTTAGTTGGATGGTGGTTTTACCTTGTTGTTTATGTTGCACTGGTCTGACGTCTGACGTTCGATCTTAAACGTTACTTGACGTTTTGTTCGTTCAACCTGATTGAACTGAATTGAATCAATTCAATTTAAAAAATAAAAAATAAAGTACTTGAATTTTTCCATTTGTAAATTATCTGATATTTCGCCACCGACTGGACAAGCGGTTTTTTTGCATCGGTATTTAGATCCACAACCATAGACATACCTGGATCAGTTGCCACAACCCCCTCCCGCGCCAGAGCACCAATCTACTCCCAGTTTTCTAATTGTGAATAAACTAAACAAGGCTTTCATCTAGCAAACTATTGCACTGCGGATCTCCATCGAATGTGCCTGCACTGTCCACAATCTTCGTAATATTCGTGGTCCATCCGACGCAGAGAGCCTAGAATCCCCCCCCCCCTCCCAGAGCCCGCGCCACAACCTCCACACAGGCGCAGATGGCTAGGATAGGTTTGGAGTGTCTGTAGATAAGATTACGTATGTTGTCAGTTGTATGTACGTATGAGTCAGAAATATAGAGGTGTAGAAGATTTGACCTAGGATGCTTAATGGAACGCCAAATTTGACTGGCGTGATGGGTGAAAAATCAGAACCGACTCTCCCTTTAAAGCATCGATCCGAGAAGAAGTACTTCAGGATGAGATAGTAAGTGTGAGGGAGGATACATTTTCACTTGTAAAAGAGGAAGGGTTGGAAATTACATGTTCAGAGTCGAATTTGGATATTGGTCTTTTAAGGAGGAGAGGTTTAAAAATTTTGGATAAATTTCAATTAATTAAGGTTTTTATTGAGATAAAACAGTCAGTGTCACAAGTGGGATTCGAACTCACGATCCACTCGGACACTAACTTCCCATCTCACCACGAAATTAGTAATTTAATGATTTAAAATGAAGTAACTTCACTAAAGCTCTCCGTGACCATTTCATTTGTCGTCGAGAATCCAATCCGATTACACGACATTTGAAAAATGGCAAAAAGGAGGGGATATTAAAAAGGTAGGGTTGAGATGGGAAGTTAGTGTCCGAGTGGTTCGAGGTCACGATAGCTCAGGTGGTAGAGCAGCGGCGTATCTAGCCGAAGATCGTGGGTTCGAATCCAGCTCGTGACACTGACTTTTTTATCTCAACTAAAAACCTTAATTAATTGAAAGATATAAATTGGTCGAGCAAACCACGAAAACTAGTGAATTTTCGATAAAGTAGAAAAGAGGCTTATTGGTCTATAAGAGGATGGGATACAAGAGGATTTGTGGTTGTGATATTGGGTTATTAAAGATAGTTCACGGGATGGAGAAATAGTTGTGCCGAATATTGCATTGTAATATATACTATTGCTTTTTAGGGTAGATTCCGAAGGTTTTGAGAGTAATAAGATTGAGGCCCGGGGATTTCCTTTGGGAAGTGTTATTATTTAAAACCGAAAGTAAACTCATATAGTTAACAAAAGGCGTTTAGATCTCCATTCAATTTAAAAAATAAAAAATAAAGTACTTGAACTTTAACCATTTGTAAATTATCTGATATTTGTTGACAGGAGACGGAGATTGGCATATTGCATCAATTCGCTTTCGCTTCTGACCTCCAGAGGATGAGTGTGGTGACCAGACAACTCGGCAGCAAAGACCTCATTTTATATTGCAAAGGCTCGCCCGAAATGATTATATCGCTGTCGAACCCAGAGACCGGTGCGTCAGATAATCGGAAGCCGATTTTCAGGACAGGGCTGATTTATTTTTATTTCAGTGCCTTCGGATTTCATGCCGAAATTGAGGGAATATACTGAACAGGGCTACAGGGTAATCGCTCTCGGATGGAGGAAGCTTGAGACAGTGAGTTACCACAAACTGGACAGACTGAGACGGGAGGATGTCGAACGTGACCTGAACCTGGTCGGTCTCATCATCCTTGAGAACAGGGTCAAGCCTGAGACGATTCCTACTATTGAAGTTCTAAAGCAGGCTAAAATCAAAATAATCATGATCACTGGTAATTCAAATGTCAAATCACGTTAAAATTCCCTGGGGGCCAAAAATATTTGCACAGGACTAAAGGTTTTAATTAAGAGGTATAAATTTTTATGAAATTGTCTACCATTTTTAATATATTTATAATAAAACCTTTTAGCTTATATTAGAATTTATTAATTTAAGAAATAATATTATTTATTGTATAACACTCATCGCATAAGCACTCCATGAGCATCTAGTACAGGTTCAAAACCTCTCGCCGTGGAATGGATTCAATTTTTCATTGTTTTATCATACACCTCGTGCAAAACATTGTACAAATGTTGGTTAAGATGTTGTATTTTCTTATTTTTAAAACAAGCAAATGTCATAAGTATGCTAAAATGTTTGGTTGCGATGATTGGGCGTGTGTAGTTGTTGGTTCTTCGGTTTTGTTAGTTATGTGCTTAGAATCTTTGACATGTTGAAACAAGTGATGACCCTAGATCGTTATTTGGGTTATACTAAGCGTCCAGTTGTTGCGCAATATCTATACTTGAGAATCAAGTTTTTAACTCCATGGCACATTCCCAAATGTTCACCTGGAACATTACATTCTTCCAGAGAGATAGAAAGGTAACCTATTTTCAACATGGAGTAACCGAAACCTTCTATCTAAAGTACAAGATGTTCAACCACGACCAATCACTCAATTGTGAAAAGCTTGCACGCTTATTATTACGATCTGAAACCCTGTGGCTTGGAGATAAACAGTTTGCCAATTGCCAAGCTTTTGTTCACCGATGAAAACATTTTTTCTTGTTGATCTATTTATTCTTTTTAGCGAAATATAGATAATTCTTACTATTATAAGTAGTTTAATAATTTATGGCGTTTTTCATGCTGTTCAATTTCAATTTATCCACGTGTTTCAGGCATGACAAGGTTTTTGTAGCAACCAATGTAATAACTAGAAGAAAATGAAAAAGAAAACAACACTTTTATTTGAGCGTGAGAAAATTTCAATCCCAAATGTTTTAATCTTTGATAAATGTTTTTGTAAATGAAATTTGAGACTAAAGATAAACACCAAATAGTTACCATTATGGGAGAAAAACCTACTGTGCAAATATTTTTTTTGTCTGCCAACTGTATGCGTTTACACGTCCGAATCTTTTTGTGACTTCAAGAGCAGAACTTTAACCCAAAAGATTTGCATTTATTTTTTCAAAAATGCGTATGATCGAAATGAAACAACATGTAGTCTAGAAACCTTTGTGCTTTTTTTTCGTAAAAACCTTTTAGGTTAGGCTTTCGTCTATTTACCACGTTTTAATAAAATTATATAGGAATCAATAATAAGCAAGTTTAAAGAAATGAAATATCAAGAAGTTAGTCAAAGTAAATTAAAATTTAATCATGAACATATAAAATTCCTGAACACTTTATCACAATTAACAATTAAAAAGGTTAATTGAATACACTATGTAATGACAAGGTTTTAAGCTTTAATCATTAAATACTGGATTTATTAATCTGTTATATAATTATATTGGTTTTGTGAGTAAAAATTGTCTCTTTTTTGAATTAATTAATCTTTATGTAAGGTTGAGATAAAAAAGTCAGTGTCACGAGCGGGATTCGAACCCACGACCTTCGGCTAAATACGCCGCTGCTCTACCAATTGAGCTATCGTGACTTCGACCCACTAGGACACCAACTTCCCACCTCAACCCACCTCTCGAATTTTCCCTCCTTTTTGCCATTTTTCAAAATGTCTCTTTTAATGATTTAAAAAAATAATATAGATTTAAGCAAAGTGTTGTAGTAATTTTGATTGAACTTAAGTTGTGAATGTTAAAACATAGCTTCTTCATTAATTCTTTCCATATTTTTACATTTCTCGCAAAATCTATCTCCAGTTTTTTTGATTATTTCATTTCACGGTTTTTCCATTTGAAAGTTTTGTTAGGTTTTGCCCTATCGGCCATTATCAATTCTTCCTATGTAACTTTCCTGGTCATTTATTCAAGTGCCATCCATGTGTTTCCCAATTGTAATTTTCTTTTTATCTGACTCTTCCTTGTCTCTTTATTGTTAGGAACAAATGTGTTCTTGGTGTACTATATCAGATGGACTGGAAAAAGGCACGCACATTTTATTCTTTATGAGCATAGTTATAGTACACCTACAGATATATTATTAAACTTAATATATATTATCATCAAATCTGGATCCCGCCATAACTAACCGAAACCTACTGACTCTTATGTTTTCTTTACCTCAATCGTTTTGCAAATGGAACATTAAATTAAACACTTCTACGTCCAAAGAAACCCTCCAGGGCATCATTCTCTATCAAGACTATTTGTATTTCTCTTTCAATAAAAACTTTATCCATTACGTTACGCCGCATTTTGGCAAGCGATCTGGAACCCTCATGCTCGACGCAAAAGAACAGAACTGAACCGACGGTACCGACTAATTGACAACAAAAGACCCATGTATACCACCATATGGAACCTTCAGCTTCACTTAAAACGTTGAACTATGGGGTTCAACCGAACCTTACGATCTCCACAGAATCCAGACCCTACAATCATGTTCCATTGTCCTTTTCTATGTTCCCAAGTTCGTTCCAATACTTCGAAACGTCACAAAAGTCTATGGTATCCGTGTAGATGTGTCATTCTTGTCTGTCGTGTTGAGAGTACCCAGGACACGCAAGAATGGCACAATTACGCCGAAAGCAAACACTTTGAGCCCTGAAGATGATCTCAATAAAGATCGAAACGTTGGAACTATAAAGAAAATGTTTTTCTGAAACCCACATCATACCAGATCGCATCTCACGATTTGTGCTCTTTGTTATAATGTTACTAATTGCGCAGATTGTGGCTAGATAAACTATAAAAAACATATTTTAACGTTTTCCTTGAATAATTGCGTTTATATTTCCGTATTTTCCCATTCGCATTTTACTGTTTTAACCTTCATGTAAGTTCAGTTTTATGTATGGAGGATATCGTTTATTTGTTTGTCCATAGTATACTTATCTTCGGATCTCAAAATCACTGGATCTTCGCTGTTTATTGTTATTGTTGTTAACTCTTTGTCCTGCCCAACAATACACAATGTATGATAATACATAAATAATTATATAAAAAACTATACTGGTATTGAAAACACGATAATCTGTTGGGGGGGGGGGTAAATGAGATGGTCCGTTTTTTTAAAAATTTTCTTATTGCTGTTCTTTGTATTAAAGGTGACAACATTCAGACAGCTGAAAGTGTGGCTAGAGAAAGCGGCATTGTTTCTCAGTTCGACACGATTCTGGAGCTCAGCGTTGGCAGCAATGAATCGAAGCAACCCGAAATCTTTTACACGAAAGTCACCAAAGCCCAAGGCTTGGTATGCCAAGTTTTTGTTTAAATATCGCCGATATAAATCAGGTACTGACTTTCAAAACATTTAAAATTTTAGACGAGTGACATGTATCAGAGGTTCACAAAAGAGGTTCTCGACCACGGGAATTATAAAATTGCCATGACCGGCAAAGTTTGGGAAGCGATCAGAGGTTCTAGGGAGGAATTCTTTCCCAACATCTTGTACAAAAGTGTAGTTTTTGCAAGAATGGCGAGTGAACAGAAACAGCAGGTTATAGTCGAATTGCAACAAACTGGATATTACGTCGGTAAGATTATTCATCTAATTGATTTATGAGTTTACACGTGACATGTCCGACTTAATTGATTACCAATTGAGGTTTTAAAATTTACTTATTTATTTTATTTGAGCTTATTCTGTTGGTCATAAAACCAATGTGACGTAATTGGTCTTAGATTGAATAATGGATTCTATTGTAGTCTTACCATTGTTTTCTTTGATACAATTGATTTTGAGGAAGGGCCATTACTTATTATCCTCTTGCAGCCAATTTGACATCAGCCAATTGTAACAAACATTAAATTAATATTACGTTATTTTGTTATAGTTATAACCAGGGCTATAATTTTTGGTCCAACTCCTTTTTCAGTCAGATACGTTTCAGATGCAAGAAGGATGAAAGTAAACTGACACCACGGAGTAATACACACATTACCCTATGCAGATGGCCAAAACGTGTCTGACATACTTATCGGCGATAGTTAGAGGACATTGGCGATCGAAGGTCATAAACAAAATGTTCATTATATTACAGACCTCAACAGAATATTTCATTGGGACATTTCTCCTTGAGATCCACGGGGGGTGATCAACCTTTGACTTTTCTGGTCCGCATCCGTGTTGTTTTTGGCTTACGCTTTTCGGATTTTCGCCACCAATGGTGGTTCTTTTGTTATTCTGTCAGTTTGCTCTTACCTGCTTACTCTGACCCATACAAGAGGAACGACTTTTTTTGACAGGGTTATAAGAGGGTGAAAGTGTCCAGACAAAGTAAATTGGCGATAATTTTACAGACCGTTAAGTTTATCGAGCTGGATCACAACACGTTGCAGAAATCAATAAAATACTTCATTGGACTCCTGCGGTTGTGATGACTGTACGTTGTTAATCTCCAATTTAGTTAATTATCACCGTTTTGGTCTATTAGTCGCTTTTTGGTACATTGCGAATCTAGGCTTTAAGCAGATTGAGAACTGGCACGACTAACAGAATAACGCGCACACCAACCTATGAGAGAGCGCGATACCGCAGAAATAGAGTAAGACTACTCATCTACAGATTCATCATATTGCAGACATCAAAACAATTTTTCAGCAGGAGATTTCTTTTGGAATTTTATTTTGTTTATCAATTGGCTAATTTAGTCTAAAGAGGATTAAAGAAGCGGTCACAAGCTTGTTGACCTCGACCTGAGTAGGTGCTCCTATTATAACACACTGGACATCTTCATGTTATTAGTTAAATCTCCTTGCCAGCGGCTCCTTAGTGTAGGAACTTGCTAGCGGATTTTCTTCTCGTAAGTGTTCTGTGATCTCTGCACTCTTTTACCTGGCAGAATCTGCACGGTGTTTCTTCTGTCTACTCATGTCCTGTGAATGTGTTTTTTTAGGCGGCAGTGTCAGGAGTCCAAGCAGAATCCTGGCTCTTTTGCGGTTGCCCTCTAGTAATTCTTTTGTAAATCTTGCGGATGGCACTTCTTGCCTCAGATATTGTTCCACCAGGTTTTGAACTCATTAAAGACTCATTTTTGGATGTGTCTTTGTTATGGCAAGGTGCTAGGCCACTGTAGGGTTGGGGCCTAGAAAATTCATATTGGCTCATTTTTTTGCCGATATTTTCAAATAGACGTGTCCACTTCATATCCATTTTCTGGATTGATTCTGGAACTACCAGGCGAAAATCTGATTCGTTATTAGTTTTAAGACTAGATAAATATTTCTTTATTTTCTTAATGCAATATGAGAACATGTTCCGATATTTAAAAAAGTGACCTAGTAAAGGAAAGTCCCCCTAGGTGTAATTAAATTTTTAATATTCCGATTGTACATTCAGAGCTATTTATGTATAATAAAAAAATGATAAAAAGACAACATTTCACGTTTTATTTTTAAAAGCAATGTGCGGAGACGGCGCTAATGACTGCGGAGCTCTGAGGGCGGCCCACGTCGGAGTATCTCTGTCTGAGGCGGAAGCTTCTGTAGCTTCTCCTTTCACTTCCCGTGTGCAGAACATCTCCTGCGTTGAGGTGGTCATCAAAGAAGGCAGAGCCGCGCTGACCACGTCCTTCGGCGTTTTCAAATTCATGATAATATACAGTGTGATCGAGTTTTTCTCGACCATCCTCTTGTACAACATCGGCACGAACCTGACCGACTTCCAGTTTTTGTACATCGACATGGCGCTGGTCCTAAACTTCGCGTCACTTTTCGGCAGGTGCAAGGCGTACCATGGACCCCTCGTGGCTCAAACACCAATGCCCAGCATGTTGCACATTTTGCAGATTCTTTCCCTCATTTTCCAAGCCGTGATCATCGTCAGTATTCAACTCATTTCGTCGTACGTCGTCCGACAGTATTCCTGGTTCGAGCCGTTTCAATACAAAGGGTACAAAGAGTACAGATCGTACGAAAACTTCGCGGTGTTCAGCGTCTCACAGTTCCAGTACATCACGGCTGCCTTCGTCTTTTCACAAGGGCCTCCGTTTCGAGAACCAATTTACACGAACAAAATATTTTTCGCCTCGATATTAACGATGATTCTTGTTTGCGTGTACGTAACTTTATATCCTAGTGAGTGGATAGTAGACGTTTTAGAGTTCAGATACCCACCGGAACCTAATTTTCCTATTATGGTGATACTCTTCGGTTTGGTTCACTTCCTGGTTTCCATGTTCTTCGAAGATTTCTTCATTAATTGGTTTCTGTTCAAGAAATTACGATGGGGTGTAAAATGTAATAAACCTTTGAAATAACTCTAAAAAATGAATTAACCAACTTTTAATAATTTCCACGATAAAAAATGATTTTCCATAATGAAAAATGATATTATATAATGGCTGATTCCTCGGTTATTCTATTTTATAGATTTTATCCTCTGTTAACAACAGTTGCCACTTAAAATAGTTAGTAATTAAAAATAAGAAAACATAATTAACATATTTGTTATTTAAAAAAGATATATTACTTGTACAAATTTATTTAAAACAATAAATTAGCTTTAGATATACCATTGGCGATGTCAGCCGTCGACCAGGAGTTATCGTACTGTAACTTTCTAAATATTTTATTTTTCATTCCTTCTTGTCCCAAAATGACAGTATTAATACTAAGTTTACAACGAAATTAGATAGACACAGAAAATCAATTTAAAAAAGAAAAAGTTATCATAAAAAATGATACAACAAATATGATGTGAAAAAAATAAAAAGAGAAACGATATACAAGAAATTCTTTCCAATTAAAAATAACATTCGATTTTCCCCAGTAATTATGGTTTACAAATAGAAATAGTGTACGCTAGTTTTTTAAATCCTAGGCATGTAGAATATATAAAATGGAATAATCGAGGTTTAATAATTTATCAGGGTGGAATATTCAACATCTAACATAATTTTTGCTTAGAAAAAGTTCAAACAAACCTTTTAGCAATAATTATTTATTTATGATGAATTATGAAAATATTGCGATTTCTTCGACCTGAACGAGTACATGCTGTTCTTGCTCATTTTTCATCAGTTCATCCGTGTTGTATTTTGTATGTATATAACATTAAACACGTTTATAAAAATTATCAAATATGATAGATAAGTGGCGCAAAAAGTACCTTTTGTATATGTAAATTAAATAAAAACAGACAATTTTAGAATAAATTACATTATGAACCTTTCTTAGACTCGTATTTTTATTATATTATATTTGCTATTGTTTGTTTTATGTAATATTGAAAAAGATATTTCTGTATTAGTGGACATGACAATTTTTTCGTTCAAACCATTGGATGAATTGTTATATAATATGTTAGCGAACATTTGGTTTTCTTCCGGAATGTTACCTCATTTTGACGTAACACTTTTCAACATTGTAAATCTTTCAATTTATTTGTTCTTGTATATTAAAGCGTCAAATAATTTCGAACCTACTGGGTGGTGGGAAACTATATCTGTGATATATTATAAAAATGATCAAATTTTATGTAAATAAACACTTATGAAATATAAGTTATTTTTTCGAGTCTTAGTTTTGTTAAAACCTAGTACTTTCAAATTGTCACAAAACAAATAATAATCGAGTAAATTAACATCAATAAATATTAATATTGGCTTAGAAGTTGATTTTTTAAAATTATTATTTTTGTTGTGATATATTTATGCTAAACCTTCTTAAACCTCCTGTTTCTAGATATTCTTGCTTTCACCATGAACAAAAACCAAATAACATTTTTGAAATTTGGTCGTCGTTGCTCTGCCTATCCTCGCTGGGTTGGTATGTCAGACGCACGACCACCCCCTAGAGGAGACCATGTGTTCGGAAAAGGCAGCCCAGACGGCCACCACCGACCTTCGGTAAAGGGTCTACTGGAATATCGGGTATGCTTCTCATTGGAGTCGCAGTCTTTTAATACTGAGGTTCTTTAGCGTGCACACCTGGCACATAGGCCTTATCACACGTTTAGACCCACTTCCGCGCACGGAAAATCTACTTAAACTGTGAGGTTCGATGTAGAAGCCCACATACCATTCCGTAAGATTCTGCCGACATGTCGACATCTCCCGCTTGCCCCTTCCGAGAGGGTGGGTTAACATTGTGCACTCAACAGTGTGCCGTGCGTAAAAGGATACCCAAAAGTGGTCGAAATGCATCGACCAAGTCTCCCACGCACTCCCTAGATAGAGAAGACAACTCTACATCCCTGGGATCCGCTAACGTCGAAATATCCGGATCCGCTCTGGCCGCGGTTTCGATTTTGGTGGAATCTCTAACCACCCCCTGGACCGTGCCTACGGTAAAGGCAGCCCAGACGGCCACCACAGAAAAATATCCGCCCTCGTCTACCATTGCTCACCCATTCGAGGGACTCCGTCAGCATAGTCTTAGCCTCTTCGTAGGCTGTACGCGGCGGCAGTCCGATCACCCCGATTCGCGCGAGGTCGGGAGATTATTTTGCTCTGCCTATCCTCGCTGGGTTGGTATGTCAGACACACTTCGGCATTTTGCCATATTCAGTTAGTGTAATGTTCTGGCTGGTGCTGGACGCCATAATTAAGGTCGGGAGAAGAAGTCTAAACGCTGAGCACATAGAAACCCTTGTACTACGTAAGGGTTTGACTCCGTCAGTAAGGAGGACCTGTGAACGACCATGGTGGTTTGCGAACTATATCGTAGGAACACTGCAGGGAGGAGTGTTCTACCTGGAAGCCGGCCGGAGGAGGACCAGCCCCATCAAGCTGGAGCTTGGGGTGCGTCGGGGAGACTAGCTCTCACCAGCCCGGTTTAACGTGTTGATGGCCACCATCCTGACATCTATACCGGACCATATTGGGTACAGCCTGGAAGGAAGAAGGATCGAGGCCCTGATTTCTTCCTCCGAACTACGGATGAGGACGGCGCTGGTTTGGCCTTCCAGACAACCCCAGAAATTATTCAGTCCTGTCTCTACTCCCCGACGGGAAAAGGACGAAAATATGTATACTTGGGGTCAACTTCAGCGCGTCGTGACCGGGACGATGCTGGAGACGGAGCTGGCGTTGATGATCTCACGGGTCACAAATCTGCGCCCCTGAAATCGCAACAGAGGCTCACTCCTTAGGACATTTCTTCTGCCTAGGCTGATCGGCGCCCTGGCCCTGGTTTATCACGGCCGGTCGACTTGCTGCAATAGACCGCCAAACAAGAACAGCACTAAGAGAATAGGTACTCCTCGTGTCGCCCTGTCATCAAATACGGCACGGCGGCCTTCTAGAGGACTAAACGTAATGTGTGGTGTTTATTAATGATTATTTGGAGGTCATGAGACACCAGACCGCATCTCACAACCTCCAAATAATCACTAAACGTAATCATGACAAGAGAATGGTATTCATGGGATGACAAATGTGTTCGTGGTTTCACCAATGTTCTCATGGCTTGACACGTAGGCGAAAAACCCCTCGCAACTGCAGCTCAAAGCTCCCGGCATATTTCGGCTATTTCTGTACCGGGTGTAGGATGTCTTTTTTAGACCAGGCAACGTTTGGCCTCCACCAACACTTATGTCATACATTACCAATTAGAAATCCCTACGTACGCGAACAGCGATAGCTTCAAGACTACGTACAGGTCCGACGATATGCCAAAATATTGATTACATAATAGACGTTAAGCCTTCTATAATTGAAAAGGTGTTATTTCATTCTTACATAATGGGTACCTATGCGGCTAATATTTCAACATTATCTTTTTACGACAGTGGGGAATACTCTTGTGCGTTAGGTGAGCATATATGCATTGCTAAAACCAAATCCCTCCGAGGATGGAGTAATTAATTTATACATAAATAGAAGTTCAAGCATTTGGTAATGTTATTCTATTTTTTCTTGCATTTAGATATAGTTAAATCTAAAAGTCGATTTCAAAGAGTGGCGAATAAGGCTGTAATTAATTTTTATATTCGCATTAAGATCGGATTGCTTGGAAATCTTTATCATCTACTTCGTTTTACGAGGCGAAACAGTCCATAAAACGCTTCTTTGCGTAGGAGGACTGACGGTGCGATCTATCTCGTAATAACACATAAAAGAATATCAACAAACAAAAGGTAATAACGAAAGCGCTTTTAGTTTTATACTTGGAAGTAAATAGCTTACCACGGATAAATTTATTCAAAAGATTACATACATTTTTAAATTTTTTCTTATTATTTAGAAACGCATTGCATTTTCTTTCTTTCCTTTCCTTAAAATTCTCGTTTGCCAACAATCAAACAAGGTTAACCTCCACGCCTTTGTGCATTTCAACGTTGAAGAACTGATGGTTAAAGTTTGTAAGATCGCCTGACTGATTGATAAAGGACGGTCGTGCCTGAGGAAGACAAACCTTCCGTCAAACTTTGGATCTTGAAAATTACCTCACTTACCTTTTCCGGGCTTACAAAAAGGAAGCCTTGGAGGAAATTGTACACCTGCACTTTACTTTCTTTGCTGTCGTCGTGCTTATCGCTGCCAGGGGCCTTTAAGCACGTCAAAAACTACAAAAGCGGTGCTGTTTTAGAACGCCAATCCCTAAATTGTTTATATTTCGATCGAAAATTTAAATAATTATGCATTTATATTACAGTGCTTAATTAACACTGTTGTTTCTAATAAAAATGGTTCGAGCTAAAGCTAGTTCTACATTGAACTTTACAAATAATAACATAAAAAATTATTTGCTTACAACATTTGTCAGGCTTTTCCGCATCTAATGATGTTGTTTGAAATGAGCATTGGAAGTTTTTTTAAAAGTTTATTGAAGTTTTCATAGTTTCGAAAGAAGGGAGTATTACTAATATCAGTTAGGTCATTTGCATATTCTTTTGACTTGTTTTATCTTCCAACTATTTCTTCTTTGAACTCTCCTTTTGAATTTATTAGAAATACTAATAAATATAAAAACAACTGGATTTATTTATTCTTAATTCATATGTTTTTTTAGAACCCTCCAGCGCTTTATGAACGCCAATTTTCAGTTTTCTCGTGCATATCCTCCAACTTCATTTTGGCTTTGTTCCTTGATTTTTGTACTTTTTGGCGTCCTCTTGGCTGAGAATACCCGGCTTTCTTCTTCTCTCCAAGTTCAATTTTTGGAAAGAAGAGACAAACAGAAGAAACAAAATTTACCCTGGACTTTTTCAGCTTTTTTGCTTCTCACGCCTCAAATCACGTTTTTACGCATAAAATTGCAACTGCCCTAAAAAGCTGTCGCATTTCTGACTTTTTTTTATTTAATGCAGTACTGAGAGCAACATATTCTTCCAAAAAATTGAAACTCTATAAAATTTAACAAAACCAAATGACTTAAACTCTCCATCACATCATTCATACTGTTTTCTAATAATAAGCTAATAGGTCAGTTTCGTACCGTTCCTTGTAAAATATTTAAAAAAAATTGATTCACTAAACAATTATTTCTATTGTTACTTCCTACATCAATTTCACAGACCTCTGCATTTGCTAACCCTCGTAAAAAAAAATTCACAGTTACAGGTACCATGGCCTCATATCTAGAGCAGAAACTAGGCGACTGGAATGTTTTAAAATCTTTCTCAGGTCTTTGATTAAGTATGGCATATGTGACTATTTATTATAGAAATTATTTTACACAAGGCCTGCTCTCTAATTATACAATCAAAATTCAAGGAGAGATTTTTCGCTGTAGTAATATTGTGACTTACTTCTGAGATAAAAAAAGCACTTGCAGGTACACTTCACATAGATCTGCACATGCCAACTGTTCTTCCTTTATCAGAACCTACTACAAACATTTTCCCAGCAAGTTGCTTGGAGTCACATATTGTTTTTTTTCTGGCCACCGACACCCCTATAGGTGCTATTATTTCATGCTTCACAAGTACCCCATAGATGACTGAAAGAATATGCATCAGATACCGCTTAAATCATTAGTCTGGAGCGTACTTAATATTCCGTCATCGACCCTTTCATATCACACATTCACGCTAATAAATACATTCACGATCAACACAAAGTAGGTTTTTTTTACGAGGGTATGCAACAGCAGAAGTCGTATAAACTCTCAGGGTGCCGGTGTTTTTGAACCTAAATCCCATTTGTAAGTATGACGGGTTGGAATGCAGGGCCGCTGGATTCGAACCCTGGACCATTACCTTACAGTGATGACCGCCTTGTCAACGCCTAAATCGTTGCGGCCACCGACGCTCCTATAGATGCTATTATTTAATGCTTCACAAGTACACCACTGAAAGAATATGCATCAGAGACCTCTTAAATCATTAGTCTGGAGCGGCTAATGAGTCTATAACGCCAATTTATGTAGATTCACAAAATAAAAATTAAATCTGCTGGTTGTGTATAATAATTAGACAATTATAGATAAATAAATGGTATAGATAAATAAACAATTAAGCCAGGTGAAACAGTACTACCTGAAAAAAGAAAGTGAAATATCCCAATGTAATATATTTTATTGTTTCAGAATAAATAATTACATTCTATTTATGGATAGACTTAATATACATCATATTTATATATAATACAGTTTTTAATTTAAAATTAATGTAAATAAACTGCCCGTACTGGGCCGAATTGATATCATATCACTTATCAGTGTATGTCAGATATATTAAATATATACATCCTAAAACATTTTCTTTTAATTATACAATTCTCTAAATCTAACGTAACTTACAAAAATATATTTGTAATATTAAACACGAGTAAAGATATATTCGAATGAATTAACATAGATAGTAATAAATGCCGAGTCCTTGTTCACTTTAAACAAAAAAAAGTCAAATATTTGGCACATTTGTTGTACGAACAAGTACTTGAGCCTGATATAATTAAAGAAACAACAATTTATAATTTTATTACGTGCTCAACGTTTGTTTCAGATATAGTATTGATTTAGCACGAGTTAAAAATATAAATGTATATTTGGACTAGAAGCTATAAACGTATTCCCCTTTTTTTCCTTTTCTTCTTAATATTACCGTTGTTTATTTACAATTCAGAAATCGTTTCAAATGAATATAATATATAACAATATCTATTTTTGTCTGCAAGCTCTCAAACCTTGTACAGATTATGCAATTTACAATATTATTGTTTCAATTAAAAAAAAATTACATTTATTGAAGTCTCATGGACTATATTTTGAGCCTTGGATATAATTGCTTATTGAGCTTAAATACAATGTAAATGCAATTTTCAAAACAATCAGTTTGGTCGAAGAAGGAAATATAATGTTACTGGTACAAATGAAAAATTAGAAAAAAATGTACTCGCAGATGCTCGCTTTGTCCACAGTTGGTGGTAAATGTATAGTCATTAAAAACCTATACGCTTTGTTCTTTAAAACTACAAGACTATTAAAGTAAAAACAAACGTACTACACATTGGCGAGATTTCCTTCTCTTGTCTCATGAACTTGCTGTCTGATGAATTTCATCTTTACCGGTCGTCTTGGTCCGCCTATTCTCACTAGATATGTCAACAGACTGTAGGCTTTGAAATGATCGGAAACGGCCAAATTATAGTTATGGTTTTTTTACTTTTCGGACAAAAGTATCAAGAACATCAACAGAAAAGTATCGATACCCTGGGATATCCAACAAAAGTGATCGTTATCTAAAGAATAAACAAAAGTATCGTTAGCAATGGAAAAGGTAAATAAAAATATACGTGCCTGAAGTATGAAAACAAAAACATCTATACCTTGAAATATCGAAATAAAATTATCGATACCTTAAATGTTAAAACAAAAGTATCGATATTCTGGAATAACTCAATTAAGTTATCGATACCTCAAGTATCAAAACAAAAGTATCGACGCCTTGGAATATCGAATTAAATTAACCGACACCCTGAAATTTCCAAACCCTCTAGTGCTGATCTAAAAGTGAGAACATGGAAAAAACTACTATAAATACAACCAAAGTGAAATTTGACTGAAAACCAATTTTAAAACATACTAAAATTTAAAAGATTGGAAATTGCATAGCTAAGCACGTAAATATTAAAAATTTCTATTTATAGAGCGGGAATAAGTAAAGAGTGAAACAAAAAACAAGAAAAATAGAGCAAAAATGAGCAAAAACATAAACCCCAATGAAACATAATCTATATAAAACTATTATTTATGTTGATCTATTTCTATTTTTATTTATCATTTTCCCAGCTTTGAAGAACACTCTTCCAGTTTGAACCAATTATCCAGAGAAAAAAAAATCTTGCCGCTAGTTCCGTTTCCCACCATTTTACCTACCTATCCCAGCTGTTTTGTCATAAGCAGGGTCAGAACAAATTGACATGTCTGAAACCGACCCACTGAAGAAAAAAAAAGGCTGAAGCGCGTCTGGCAGAAGAAAAATGATCAATCTATAGGCAATATATTTTTTTACAACCCAGCGAGGATAATCGGTAAAGATCAAATTACATAATACGCGATGATATATAGACTAAGTAAGAAGAAACCGCGAAAATAGGTGGGCAGTAGTACAAGTAGCTGATAGCATATTAATTGTTTAAATAATTAAAATACAGTAATTTTCTTTTAATGTTCCTTAAGTAATGAGGAAAAAGAAAAAGTGAAAATTCAAAAATTATTAAAAAATAAAAGATTTCTGTTTGAATGTGTAAGTAGACTTTGTGTTTAAAATCATGTTTTGCTGTTGGTTTATATATAAATTTATTGTTTAGTGTTTTATGAAACTTTATAAAAGATGGTTATGAAGAATACTAACATGTTAAATCAATAAAGAAATTATTCAACCATTAAACGAATGATTTTTTGTGATTTGAACTTTTCTTATTAAACTTGTCTAATTTAAATTACGTACAAACAATATTTCAGAATATAATGTCAAAATACTAAATGGGCCTTTAAAGAATCACATTTGACTAAGTGAAATTTCAAATATGTACCTTCGAATTTTCAAATCCCCGTTTGATCAGCCCTTCTTCTACACGCCATTGATTAAACAATTCAGGCATCTCGTTTTTTGACGTTTGATGAATATAAAAAAATCTGATTTAAATCCCTGTGGGTTGAACTGTAAAACTTTCAGTCCTTCGGGAGAAAAAGTTTCATGTGGCTTTAGTCAATAAGCCCGGCGAGGGGTGGAGGGGTGGCTTATGAGAGCGTTTGAAGACCTTCATGCTTCAGTCCACGCTTTTTAAAACAAAATATTTTTATTATTTTGGAATGATTTAATGTGTACGGTTCATTTGATATAGTTAAAAAAAAGAAGGATTTGTCTCCAAGGACTAATCTTTTGTTTCATATCTAAGGTCAATCATGCCTCTAAAACTAATTTCTTGATGAAATGACATATTCGTCATAATTTGCTTATAAAATTGAATTTCAACAAGGTACGGGGCATCGCCGGCTGAATGAACTATCAACCACCGAAGAAAAACCGCGACATAAAAAAACCCGTTTATGACGAGCTGCTTGGGTCTGAATAGAAGATTTCTGGCGGTAGTTAATTGGTGTAAATGGCGTGGCGATGCGGATGTCAGATTTGCCCGTGGCTGTTGGTCGCACCGCCGTTTATGAAGGTGGTCAGCACTGTGCACTCCTGGCCGTCGTTACGTCGCATGGTCATGCTGTGCTGCAGAGGGGCCATCGTCGTGCTGTCCCAACCCTTCCGACCCGTCATTCTCCGCTCTGACCCTCTCCGGTCCCACTTCCAGCACAACAAATACCTAAAAAGAATGAAATCAAAAGGATTAAATGAACAAAAACATCAAGGTCGCTTCAAGGTATTGGATGGAAAGGTAACTGCAGAGGAAACGAGTTTTACTCCCCCATTGGATAGTTAAGTGCTAATAGAGTTCCTTGAAACATCCTGCCTTCCCGTTTTACTCGAAACACCCTCTCGCCTTGTAATAGTTTCCCGTTCCTGCTTGTATTGGGATTATAAGACTTTATTATGTCATTTACTTTATATTAAGTATAAAGGCAATTGTTTTAAATAAATTTATGCTAAGGTTTTTGATCGCGTTTAGACAACTTAGCTACTACTGAATGGTGGAATCTAATTTCTTAGTATAATATATTTTTAAGTAAAATCTATTTGAAACCTTATTCCTGTTTAATTTAATGTATTCTAATTTATATATATGTACTGTTTTTTGGCTTTGTTGCAAGGTTCATCAACAAGAGATTACCTTTCAGCCATCATAAATTTATACTACTAACATAACTATCATGCTTAACATTATTGAGATGTTGTTATAGTAATAATAAAGCGGAAGCATATTATAAAACAAAACTTTACAAATAAATGTAAACCTCCAAGGAAAATGACAAACTTAACTTTTAATACCTATTATTTCAAAATGAGAGAGAGAGAGAGAGAGAGAGAGAGAGAGAGAGAGAGTGAGAGAGAGGGAGGGAGTGAGAAAGAGAGAGAGAGAGAGAGAGAGATTCATAGATAGATAGATAGATAGATAGACAGATAGATAGATAGATAGATAGAGATAGATAGATAGACAGATAGATAGATAGATAAATAGATAGATAGATAAATAGATAGATAGGTAGATAGATGGATAGATAGATGGATAGATGGATAGATAGATAAATAGATAGATNACCAATTGTCAAAGCTCCTTAATATGTCACTAACCTCAGTATCCACAAAGACCTCAATATTTCTTTTATCAACGAACTGATCCGATTCCGCTTCCAAAAGTTGTGCACCAATCACCCGATCATCATCCATCCAACTCTCTGCCCAAGCCTCCTTTATCACTTCCCCACCCTCCTCAATCTTTATCCCTCTAATGAGTCTTAGCTGTTTCTTTATTAGCATATATCCTCAAGATGGGGTGTCAATGTTGTGACTGGGAGAAAAAAAACATACGTTCATATTTGCAATGTATTTTGAAAAGTACAAACAGGTTATAAATTAAGTATAAAGTGGTTTTTTAAATGTTAAAGATAAGTAAAAAGGTAGAGTAGATTTTTTGTTTAAAATCGTCTTGATGGATATCGTTTGAATTGAAATTATCTTCTTTTGACCACTGTCCCAAACTAACTTATTTTTTCCTTTCTGATTTTTATGTCTACTTTCATTATGAACAACTAACACCTAGTAAGAAAATCAAAGCCCAGCATTAAGCACAAATTCCAGACCAAATTTTTTAAAAAAATATCTTGATTTAAACAAAATTTGCGTAATAGATTTATTCAAGTTCGTGGAAATAAAAGTTCGTGATAAAAAATTCAACGGAGGTTTTGTATAATAAATTAACAAAAACCAAGATCAAAGTTTTTGCTTTTAAAATAAAACAACGTTTTATTGGCCTTGATTATTATATTATTGGCGCCGGTTTTTTCTCACTGAGAAAATTACATCAGAAAAAACAATAAGGAAAATTATTTGTTTTATTACACTAATATAGATAAATTTATATAAATTCTTTGCAACAGTGATTTAAAAATGAAATTATTAATGTGTATAAAACGCTTCGTTTAAATTTGTCCGAGCTTCGATTTTAGATTTATAATGGTAATTAACGTTCAGAAAGTTAAAAAAGTATACTTTGATCAACGTTACAAGCAAGTCTATTGCTGTGTAAAAAACAAACAAATTACATTCTGGTAAGTAAAGCGTCAAGATTTAACGAAGTACGAAACGATTCATACGAGCTCCACCCTCGCTGAGAAGGTAATGCATAAAATTATTTAAATTATGGTTGAAACGGGTGGTGAGAGTTTAAACATGACTCTTCTTACTAGTAAAGGGTACTAATTTGTATATGCCCGGTTCTCATACACCACTCTTAGGATTTTTCCTATTTACATCTTAATGATGCTATTTGCATCTTTTGATTTTTGCTAGGTTAAAAGAAACCAAATGGACCATTACGTTGAATTAACTATCAGAAACACAAGATTTTACCATAATAAACATATAATAAGCCTTCAAGATTGGTGATATAAGTTAAAAAACTAAATTGTGAAAATCGGGTTATTAAGATAAATATCCTTTTAAGGTGTGCGAGTAAGAATTTGCTCAGACTTGGATATCATATAGTAATAATATCAATAAACCATATAATCATATTATCGTATAATCATATAATCTTATAATCGTATAATTATATAATCTTATAATCATATAATCGTATAATCATATAATCTTATTATAATATAATCTTATAATCATATAATCTTATAATCATATAATCATATAACCATATAATCATAAAATCATATAATTTTATAATCATATAATCTTAAAATCATATAATCTTATTATCATATAATCTTATAATCTTATAACAATATAATCTTATAATCATATAATCTTTTAATCATATAACCATATACTCTTATAATCATATAATCTTATAACCATATAATCTTATAATCATATAATAATATAATCATATAATAATATAATCATATAATCTTATAATCATACAATCATATAATCTTATAATCATAACATACATTTATGTACACACTAATTCTTAGGATTCTTAGTTTTCGAAGTGGAGATCTATTTTGAATTGAAGTCTTAATTTATCGAAAGAATTTAAGATTATTTTCAAGAAAAACCAGCTTAACTTTAAAACATATTAGTGAACAAATGTATCAACATGTACAGTTCACAAAAATACAGTAAATGTAGTATATTTAGGGATGGTTAGAATGGGGACTCGTTGTATGATCCCGAAACATTTTTTACAACATCCTAAAGCCTCGACCAACTATAAAGGAAAAGAAGTACCATGGAGAAATCAGATAAAATTATTTGATGTTAAAATGGTTTCAAAACATATGAATAAACCGGATAGGGTGTTTTATATACAAGCCCAAAATATGCAATCGAACTCAGAAAAGGACGTTATATTATTGATCAGATGTGATTATCGACCAGCTGAGTAATATTGATGTTATGGGAACAGGAATATGGCCCAAAAAATACGTTAGAAATTCTTGCATTACAACATGTGAGTAATATCACAATTGAATCTGATGAAGCCTTCATCTGCTTAGATATGCAATCAATATTTACCAATGTCCTGTAGGACTAATCTCTTACATTCTTTGTATGAGGTACAATGAGGTTGGAGCATTCACTGAGATCCATTTTCACTTGAGCCTTGACATTTTGCACCTTACAGCTTTCATGAGATATTTGGAATATGTAGATAAATTTTATGAAATAATAAATGAGGTTACCATGAGTAGAAACTTTCCCATGTCTTAGGAGCCTTGATTAAGAGTTGTTGGAATGTATTAAGTTGAATTACGAATTTGGAATAAAAATAATTAAGAAATATATCAATAATTCCTAATGGTAAAGAAAAATGAAATAAGGGAAATTACTGTGACATTCAGTTTATTTCATCCACACTTGCAGTTCACCAGTGCGAAAGTGAGATTAAAGAGAGCTTCTTTCCTGGTTGTGATGATCAACAGGATAGGAAGAACACTGGTAACCAACTGATATCAACAATCTACTAAACATAGAGAATATTAGAAAAATAAAACAATGCTGAAAACTTTCTTAGACCTCCTAAAATTGTTATTATTATTACTACTTAGAAGTGCATGGTAGTGTTCTATTTTTAGCAAATAATTGAATACGAAATTCCAGTTAGGAAAATTTAAAATCCTATCCTTTTTAAAAAGATAGTTCCTACTAACTAGTCCTGTACCTACATTTACTGTGAGTAGGAACTATCTTTTTAAACACCGCACTCACTCCACCCTTCATCATTTCTATTTAAAATACTATGTACCTCATAGCCCGTTCCATTTATATCAGGAGTAAAGATTTTTGTTTTTCGACATAGTTTTGAAGTGTGAGGTTCATGATCATGTTAATGAAAATTAAGTAAAATTAGATCTTATAGATTTTATTTTATTTGTGACCAAACTTTGATTCCCTGAGCGTACTCTGCTAATGTGGTTTTCCCTTTTTGTATTAAAAATATACATTTTAGAATTAAATTATTTTGCTCTCTTGCATAAGGCAAAGTTAATTAATATTATTACAGCGAGAAGCTTAGATTTCCTTATTTATGCTTTGAAAGATATTTTTAAATTTTGTTTTATTTTTTCACAACGGTAATTCAACAACCAGGTTATATGAACTCGGGGGTGCCGGTGTTATTAAAAAAAAGCCCTTTTGTAAGTAACTAGACTGTTGCGGCCACCAACACCTGCTTTGAAAGATATAGAAAATATAACAATGCAATTTCATCAATGTTTTAATAAAAAAATCAAATTAAAAAATAAATAAGGCAATTCACGAAAAAAATTGCACCACAAAATAACCCTCAAATCTGTACAACTTAACTAATGAATTGGACTTTATCAAGTGATAAATTATGGGGATGAAACAAACAACAACAAACCGAGAGTATTGGAACTATGCTAAATAACGCAATTTCAAAGTTCTGATGATTCGAAGTTTTCTTGTGGGTTTTTCGTATGTGTAGCATGAACTTTTATTTGCTCTGTTTTCAACGTTAATTTCAATCGAAATTGACCGCACTTAGGTTTATCTATTGGGTTCACGTCTTACCTAGATTTTACTTTATTTGCACAGTTGATAGATATATTTTAGGTTAATGTGATGTGAGAGTCTTTGATATAGTAAAGAGTTTAGTTTACCTGTCGAAGTGCTTTCTGAAGGTGCCAGATACGCAGTAAAGGGCGATAGGATTTATGCACGAATTGATGAAGGAGAGGCAGAACCCAATGATCCTGAAGTAGTGCCAAAATTCGTTGTAATCCTTCTGAGCAGTTGGGTGAAGATAGAACCAGAGCATAAAGACGTGAACGGGTGCGAAGCACACGGCGAACACGAGGACGAAAGCGAGGACGGTCTTCGCGACCTTCTTCCTCGCTTTTATTTGTCTGGCCTGACCTTGCAACTCTCCGGGCATGTTCTTCGTGGAGAGGATGAGGTGTCTAGCCATGAGGATGTAAAAACAGCCGATGACAGTAAGAGGGATGGCGTAGTAAACGAGAAATTTAGCGATGACCATGCTCGTCGGGTAAGTGGGACTCCATTCTTCAGGAAAAGGGTAGCACGCTTCGAAAAGAGTGGTGTTGCCTCGTTTGAAAACCCTGATGTACGAGGTAATGGCGGCCGGCATGGCGCAGGCGATGGCCAACAGCCAAATCGCCGAGGCTATCAGGATCGTACAGCCCGTCGCTCCTCGTCCTCCTATAGAAGAATACAACTTCCTCATCGGGTCGACTATGGCGAAAAACCTGTCGGCACTCAACGCTGTCAGCGTAAATACAGAAACTCCTATCGAGATGTCCTTCGTCGCCTCGGACAACTTGCAGACGAACTCGCCGTACGGCCAAGATTCGACCGTGTACACGGTAGACGTGAAAGGTACGCAGCTTACTATCACGAGAAGGTCCCCAAGGGCTAAACTGAGGATGTAAGTGTTTGGAACGTTCCTCATAGTGCGGTGTCTAACGAAAATCAGCACTAACGTTCCATTTCCTATCACGCCGACGAGAAATATGATGGCGAAGACGACTGGGACAATGTACGTCTCAGGCCTCTGGGCGTAGGGGATTATTTCCTCCTCAGTTACATTCTCAACCGTGTAATTTTGACTTTCGAATTCCATTTTTAAATATGTAAACCCTTTCCGTCAATATTTACTTCACAATTTTCACACCGATACAGCTCTTTTTCTTTTCATCCGATTTCCGCTTCACCTCTTTTCCTTGCATTTTCCTGAAACAAGAAAAATATTTCTTGATGCTTTAAAACCATTTTTTTTAATCTTTGTTTTTATTACAACCTAATATTTTGTAACAAACAAGAAACTAACAATTAACTAAATAATAATAAAATAAATCACACATACTAAATCAAGAATTTTCGTAGTAACCAAATTTGATGTTGAGAAAAAAATCAATAATTCTATAATTAATTTTTTTTAATAAAACCATTACAGAAAAGTGTTGTTATTTTATGCAAAACAAGCAATCCAAAACAACCGATCCAAGTGTTTTTTTTAATGTGTGAACTTTTTTTTTTACAAGCGATGCATTGTCATGATAATTTTGTTATTCTGTTAGCATTTTGCCTTTCATCTTTTGTAATTATCATTTCCAGCACAATTGAAAGCAGAAGCAGGTCTGGAAGATTAAGAACGCGACGTTCTTTCAAGTATGACTGACGGATTTTCAACTAGACTTCATCAATGAACGCAGTTTGTCAATAATAGGCTTTACGCCTCCAATCAGGAAATTTGGCTGATTCAATTACTGATGAATACCGGATTAATTTTATTTAAAAAAAATATATTGACAGTCCACCGAGTACGATGCACGGAAAAAAACTGGCGTTTTGATTTTCCAATTCAGATATTGAAACCAACAAAGAATGGCAAATATTGCAAAGGTTCTAAAATAAAAAAATCACAGCGTAGCAACTCTACACCCAAAATAATTATGAGACAAACAGCAACAGCAGAGGTCGTATCAACCCACGTGGTGTCGGTATTATTGAAAAAATACCATTTGTTTGTATGACGGGTTCGAATGCAAGGGCCCCTGGAATCGAACCCGGGAACTTTTCCTTACAGTGATGAGCGCCTGATTTGTTGAAAAGAAAGAGGTGTGAAATAATTGTTGGAAAATAATTGTTCATTTTATATTAAAAAACAACAAAGGATGACACTCGAATATTGCCAATAACAATCTCGAATTAAGCTATACACCTCCCCGTAAAAGTACTGTTTTTTTTACTATTAGAAAGTACGCTAATACCCGTGAGAGAGAGAGAGAGAGAGAGAGAGAGAGAGAGAGAGAGAGAAACTTCAATCAAAAATCAAAGTATTTGTACTCACTCAAAGTGTTCAAATACTTTGATTGAATCTAATATTTTATAACATTGTATAAATTCATTTTTACACGTCCTTCACGATCCTTTCTACTTTCGCCCAGGGTAATCAAAATGCAGTAAAGTTCGGCAACACTCGACGTGTTCACTATGTCTCGAAAACTTAGGAACTGAATTTATTTGGCAATAATATTGAACTTCTGTGCCCGGTTTGCACAGTGCATTGCTCAACTTTTCAATATCTCCACATGATTCAATTTAATTGTACAAACCCGACCGTTGCGCAATATTATTGTACGTCTATGGATGTGTAAATTAAGGCTTTTAAGGGGTAAGGCTAAACATATTTTTGAGAAACAACCTATTAGGGTTAGGAATTTTTGGTCCCTAATGTAAAATGCATCTTTTTCAATTTTATCAAAAGGCTTACTTCAGGATTCAATTTAATTGTACAAACCCGACAGTTGCGCAATAATATTGTACATCTATGGCCGCTTTTAACGGGTAAAGATGACTTTTAGGGTGGAAAGACCCGAAACCAAAATATTTTGTACGTAACGTTTTGCAAAGAGCCGTACATAACCAGTTGCCTTTTTCATAAAAAAATAAAAAATAGTATCCTTGAAATGGTTTCATAGATTATATACACAAAATAGCTTACCATACTGATAATTTTAGGAATTACAATTAGAAAGTTATAATCTTATAAGGTATATAATTAAAAATGATATATCTAATTGATAAATTAATATAGAAATTGCATATAAACAAATAATTGTAGCAAATGTTGTTTTTCTTATAATCTTGTTTATTTTGATTAGATTGGGTGTTAAACGTGTTATTTGTACGTTGCCGAATTTTAGAGAGAGGGAGAGAGAGAGAGAGAGAGAGAGAGAGAGAGAGAGAGAGAGAGAGAGAGAGAGAGAGAGAGAGGAAGAGAGAGGGGGAGAGAGAGAGAGTAAAAGTAAGAGAGAGAGTGGGGGCGGGGGAGAGAGGGAGGGAGGCAGAGAAAGAGGACAAAGAGAGAGGAAGAGAGAGATAGTGAGAGGGAGAGGGAGAGAGAGGACAAAGAGAGAGAGAGAGAGAGAGAGAGAGAGATATGTTTAATTTTCTGTATTAAAGCCTCATACCCTGTCATAAATGTGTACTCCAACTCCCTTTTTCTACCTCGCTTGGCAATTTTTCAAGAGGAATTGTAATCTGAAAAACAATGGACCGGGCGAGGGGCATATGTGTAATTCCAAAGAGAAGAAGACGGCTGACTTGAGGAATTTATATTAGCATCTTGTTATTTACGTTCTTCTTTTATGTTTTCCGGCAAAATCTCGGCGCAATAAACTTTGTGTAACATTTGTATCTCAGCCGACCGTTCAGGCTCGTTTCGCTTAAGATTTTTCTTAAAAGCCATAACGTCAAGCCGCTTTTCTTGCTCTTGCAAAATAACACCGCATTATCATAACATGACAACGTATTTCAACTAGGCAAGTCATAATTAAGCTGAAATTACAATGACAATAAAATTATAAATAAAAACTACATTAGAAAGTGAAGTATAAAGGTACCGTAAAAGCCGTCTGTTAGAGTTTACGCATAATAAAAAAATAGTCTAAACAACATCAACAACACATTAAAATCAAACTCATTTTATAATAATTACATAAAAATCAAGGAGGAAGTGAGGCATACACATTATATCCAAATATAACATTTTTAGGGCCATAAACTTGAGTCTGGTTACAGGAATTCTGATTTACAAAGTCTGAATTAAGTAGTTGAATTCTGTAAATTGCAAAGCAAAATTGACACAGTTAGAATATGTAGGAAACTCCTGGGTGAAATAATTTCGTTAAGTTATATAATTTGAAAATAACTACAACTTTTTTTTTTGCATCGCTTACCGTAAGACTTCTCTTAATACACAAAACCCCGCTGATAAATTTAACATCATAATCATCGTATTTAACTTAAGATAATTGGGTTGTTCACGCATAATTTAAATTGTGTTAATGTATTTTTTAAATTAAATTAGTACGGTTGTAGGTGAACAATTTATCAAGATTTTTATGTGCAAAACAGTCCGGGAAGGTTAGTCTTACTGAACCATCAGCATTCTTCCTGTATAAAAGTTTTAAAGCGTTTAATACTTATCGCAGATTCACATAAAATCATTCCTTTTTACCAATTCGGATTACGTCTCGATTAGTCCACGACCCAGCAAGGTTTCTGAATTATTGAGATCATTTCCTTTGGTTTAGAGAACAAAGAGTATTGGGTGCGTTCCTGGAAGAGGCTCAGGCTTTTGATAGTGTCTGGCACCCAGGCATCCTGTATAAACTTTTAACTTTTATATAAATAATAAACTTTTTTAATATATAAACTTTTATAAAATGATTCTCACCCACCTTTTTTTATCTTCTCGTTATTTTGGAATCATAATAAACTGACTGCTGTTTCAGAGAGAGTTATAAGGTGGATACCAGGAACTTGAGAAGTTCCCCGTGAGCACTGCAGCTCTATATAGCTTTATTGTACTCCTTCCTGGTTCTATTTTGGGAAGCTAGCAACGTGTGTGTGAATTGAGCCTCCTATATGCCGGTGTTCTTACATAGGAGAAACACATTTTCGAAATTTTGATTTGGATGGGGACCAAATTTAGGGTCGCTGAGATCCGATTCCGCCCCAGACCATTGGAGAGTCAATTTTCATACCGGCCATCGTCCACTTAACGTCTGAAAAAGTCCAGAGGTGATGGTACGAATGGAACCCAAGACCACGGGATCTTCTAGCTGAGAGTCTAACGCCTTAACCACTCGGCTACTGCGGTCCCCAACACCATCATTACTACCAATGCGGATGGCACCGCAATTCTGCTTCTAACCCGAATCTTATCCTCCAATATCCAAGATCACTTTGAGCGTATCCAAGACTGGCGCATAAAGTAAGAGACTGAATGGGGAAAAAAGCACAGTGTGTGATATTGAAAAAAAAATTTTTTTGCCCTCCACTGTACATCAACAACAAGGAGCTATCGACTTTTATTTATATATAAATTATGCAGGGTGGGCGACCAAGACCCGAGGGGTTATATGTCTGGGTAGAGTCGTACCCCATCCCTAAAATGTCCGGGACTTGGTCGGCTCACGTGTCCTGCATAAATCTCTTGGACCTGTTCATAAACCCCAAGATTTTGGACCATTTAATCTCGGGGAGTGATTTGGGATGTCCGCCCCTTCAAAGATTTCAAATCTAGACCTAGCATACCTATCACACTCTGCGAGGTAGCGCCTTGCCGTTTCTTCTTTTATTTAGCACAAACGGCAAAAGGGATCTGGTAGAATACCCATTCGGACGACTTTTATTTAAGTCAGGTACTTAAAATTATAAATAAACAGCAGAGTAACGAATTCTCATCCAAAAGAGATAGCAATTTTCCGAAGTCTTGGACAACAAAGAAGAATTTTGGGACCAAAATTAATTTTGACTATCAAAAGTCTATATTGACTATCACTAAGTCTATACAAGATATTACCACGACCACTCTAGTCATACAGACTGGAAGTGTGGGGTTTCACTAAGCCGGAAAATATCCTCGAATTAAAAGTTGTCAGACCAATTGTCAAAGCTCCTTAATATGTCACTAACCTCAGTATCCACAAAGACCTCAATATTTCTTTTATCAACGAACTGATCCGATTCCGCTTCCAAAAGTTGTGCACCAATCACCCGATCATCATCCATCCAACTCTCTGCCCAAGCCTCCTTTATCACTTCCCCACCCTCCTCAATCTTTATCCCTCTAATGAGTCTTAGCTGTTTCTTTATTAGCATATATCCTCAAGATGGGGTGTCAATGTTGTGACTGGGAGAAAAAAAACATACGTTCATAT